ACTTACGAATACCCCATTTAACGAAAAATTTAAGTTACGAAGGCACTGAACGGAAATATTGCAAAATGCCCATGTAACGAAATCCGCTGGCTCTGATTGGCTGAGCCTACAATGCCCGCAATGCCTTCCGAATCATGTGACAAACCCTAATTGCGCTTCGCTGTTCCCCTTGAATGACATATTGTTGTTCTAGTTAGCAATTAGCCTATAGCCTATCGTTCAGCATCGCCTCACTCAAAACGCGCGATGGGTGCTTCGACTTACGAAAGACCCTCGGGAACGAATTAATTTCGTAAGTTGGGGTTCCACTGTATATTAAAAGAACAATATCTCTTTCATAGATAACGCATCCTTATATACAGTGTCACACATATTCGTCTTTGAGATAAAATAGATATAAAGTGATATGAAATAGTTGCACCTTGAATGTTTGCTGAAGTTCAGTATTTGAAACAGAGTTACATTTCACTGTTGTAATTTTCTAATTAAATACATTTAATTTATTAATACAATAAATGTAATGTTGGACATATTATATTTACATTATATTACCAAACTTTGGTAGTTATTGGTCTCATGAAGTATATTAGCTCACTGGTTACTAGCTAATCTCTAGCCTCTCCACACAGCAAAAGTAAAAATAAAATAAAAGCAAGACTTTTGCCTTCATTTCTGTCAAACTATGCGGTTTAAAATGTTTCCAGTGCATGATGTCATTGTTGCTAGGCAAACTGGGCGGCGCATTGAGGGCTAGATCAGTGTTTTTCAACCTTTTTTGAGTCGCGGCACATTTTATAGATTACAAATATCCTGTGGCACACCACCAACCAAACATGTTCCAAAATGACACATTGTAGCCTAATACAGTACATATAATGGCAAGTTAGTCTCTCAGTTTGTTTATACTCACTCAGTGTGAAACCTGGGCCTGTCTAGATGAACACAAAGATGATATTCTGGCAGGAATTGAAGAAAGGCATACACAAAGCTCTTCCTCAACAGCTCTTAAACTCTCTCTGTTTCTAGTTTTTATAGCAGCCATGCTCAAAAAGCTTTGCTCACATAGATATGTTTTTGAAAATGGGAGCAATGTCAAAATGGCTCTGTTTGCCAGAGTGGGGAACGATAGATCAGCAAAGCTCAGCTTTAAACCACAGTCTTGTCTCAGTTCAGTTAGTTCCTCCTGCTCCTGCAAAGTCATATCCTTTCCGATGTCCTGTCCCTTACCCAGTCAAGGCATTCAGTGGAGACTGAGGGGAAATAAATTTACAACTTCTCCTCAAGCGTTTTCAAATGTTTACCTATTATTTCACACAGTGTGGCAGCTTTGATATCGCCTTGCCATTTCTGAGCAAGTGGGAACGTGCCAAGGTTGGCATTTTCCAGATGTTGTTGCCAGAGATGCACCTTTGAACGGAATCCATTTATTTTATCTGTGCTTGTGAGCAGGTTTTCATCTCAGCCTTGTATTCGTGTGTTCAGTTCATTCAAATGCAGAAATATATCTGCCATGTAAGCCAGCCTTAGACACCACTCATCACTTGCAAACAGCTTTGCATCATTGTACCTCCCCTCACTCAAAAACACTTTTAGCTCTTCTCGCAGCTCATACACAGACCATTGGACCTCCGTGTGAAGCAATAAGGCTGTATGCTCCACTCCCATTTCCTCGCACAGAGATGCAAATATGCGCCTTTTCAGAGGTCTTGTCTTGACAAAGTTCACCACGCGCACGACATCATCCAACACAGGAGCTAGGTCTGCTGGTAAAGTCTTGGCAACGAGCACCTCATGGTGCAGAAAACAGTGAGTAAGAATATCATCGGGGTGTATCGCTTTCACTCTGCTAACGAAACCTTTGGTGCGCCCGACCATGGCTGCTGCTCCGTCACTGCAGACACGTGTGCAGTTTTCCCACTTAAGTCGCCCTTGTTCAAGATATTTGGATGTAACCCGAAAAATTTCCTCTCCTGTTGTTTTTTCTGGCAGTGCCTTGCAAAATAGAAAGTTTTCTCTGATGGAGTCTCCATCCACAAAACGCTCATTGGCCAAGAGTTGGGAATGTCCACTAATGTCTGTAGACGCATCAAGTTGCAATGCAAACTTCCCACTGAAGCAATCTTCTCCAAAACCAGAGCAGGACTTTGGCTGTTTCTTTAACCGTGCCAGGGCCCAGCATCTTATTCACAACGGCTTTGCAGGCAGGTAGTATTAATGTCTCTGCTACAGTGTGTGGTTTTGTTGGATTTGGCTATAAGTTCAGCCACTAAGTAGTTAGCTTTGAGAGCTCTTTCAGACACCTTTGTGTTTTTTCTCATTAACGTTACCTGTTTCTCAGCGTGTTCACGCAGGCGAACAAAATAGTCTGTGTTCTTGTTTTGAAGTGAGGGACGTTTGTGTGGAGATGGCGTTTAAGCTTGCTTGGGACCATGGCACTGTTTGAGAACTTTTCTCCACACACCAAACATAACAGAGTCGGTGCAGTGAAAGTAAAGCTCACCGTTTTTGATTTCTTTTGACCACCACTCGTAAAGGGCTCTTCTGGATTAGAATTTTGTCCAGGGCCCAGTTCGGAGGCCGCAGTTTTTCTTTTCAAATATTTATCCATCTTTGTTGTACGACTTGCAGCTGCCACGTACCGCGCGCATCACTAACGCTAATGTCTTAACTTAACAAGGTGATATTGCGCTACCCACTGACATGAAAGAGTAATGACTCTACCAGTCACTGCATTGAAAGCACAGATGCCCAACAATGATTTTATTACTTTTATTATTATAATTATTAAATTGTATTTTTTTGGACCAATGAATGAAGATTAAATAATTTCCCACGGCACACCTGACGATCTCTCACGGCACACCTATGTGTACTTTTTTAAGTTGCTTGAAAAGCAACTTAAAGAAGTCCAGACGCTTTTCTTTCTAAGCTCCTTAGACTACGATGACCTGGATGACTGAGAACCTTCACAGACATGGTTCATTACTGTTGTGAGGGAAATCGATTCAATGTGTATTTTAATCACATATAATAGATGCTTGCTATCAGCTGTTTAGTATTAGCTTGTCACATCCGGATCTAGTTCTTCAAGTCATTATATCCCCCAGAAACAATCCAGTTTTTGTTTTCTATTTCAGTTTTGTTTGTATTTTCTATTTCCGTTGTGTTTTTCTGCTGCTCATGTTTTCTTAAGGTGCAGTCTGTTTTGCCCCTCAGGGCCACCGTAGGGGAAACAGCTGGTTTTCAGCTGATCATTTCCAACACGTTCTCATCCCAAAGCGTAAGCCACCCAACCAGTCTGTATGTTATGCATTCGGAAACCGTTTGGAATCAATCTACAAATGTACATTTCTTTAAGACGGTAACGTGGAAAAAGACGAGCTCACGGTTTGTGATTCTGCACCGGAGAATCAATTAGAAGCAGACACAACGGGAACGTCAGGCATTGACATTAAGAATCATTAATCGCTTTGAAAAAATACTATTCAATACGATTAAAAGTGTGGTTATGGTTAGGGCTGGAATACACGGCTGGAATGTGTGTTACCGCCGGGAGCGTCATTCCATTGGAAGCCACAATCCGGCACATATCATAAGGACATGGAAGGTTACCTTTCGCGTTCGTATGGGAGGTGTCAGGATGAGACAAATCAGATCAGTTGGTGCATGCACACTCATATCAGACAGATATGAGTGTGCATGCACCAACCAGCATGCTGTCTGCTGTAACCCATAATTTCCTTTGGAATTAATAAAGTATTTCTGATTCTGAAACAAATTACTTTCAGGTAATCCTTTAATTCCTGATAGTTTCATTAAAGATGTTGACAGGTTTTTGTTTGTTTGTTCTCCAACAGTGCTCACCTGTTCCTGACGTTGTCCAGAGTGTCACTCTGAGGGCAGATTGCTTTATCTCCACATCTGTACCCAGCTGACTGCACAATGATCATTCCACGCACTGTTATACACACACAGTATGAAAGAAAAGGTACAATTCAACACAATAATTGCAATAATCCAGGTCTAAGGATTCAATTTCAGACTCAGATGCTGCAGTCAGATCCATTAAAATTAGACGATGACAGTTGTTGTAGTTTTACCTCTGTACACCACCACAGTAAATGTGACATCAAACAAAAAAGTTAAAGTGCAGTTTTTTACTTCTAAAATGAGTAATTCTGTACAAAAATGACACATATTTATAAACAGTTAATCCAAAACTTTTGTTACGTTTGTTGAATTAAACCTGAGAACTGTAATCACATCATCACTGTCTGATTAAAACCTTGAGGTTGATTTAACGAGTTTGATTTAGTGACCTGTAACCGGGTGTCATTACTGCCGACGTGAATTATGATTTTACTGTATTTACGTTTACCCTAGTTTTAAATTTCCCTCAGTGTCGCCTGCTCTGGCCCCTGGAAGACACTTGACTATGCTTGCCGGTGTCTCTAGCTTCACATGTCTGAGAACAGAATCACCAATTACCAGAGTTTGGGGAAAACAGTTAGACACATGAACAGGTTGGTGGTGTACATGCTAATGGATACCCGCCATAACTACGCAGTTACTGCGGTGACACTCACATTAGCTGTAGAGGAAATGGATGAGCTCATGCCTCTCCCTGTTACACCTTTTAAATCACCAGCTCCGAAGAAGGTGATGTACGAACCAGGGCCGGGTATCGTCACTGATTTCTAGAATCGATTCGATCCACGATTTGTTTCGATTTGAATCGGGGAAATTTTGCCTCAGACAGTCAGAAATATTATAACTTTGATCACTTATCAGTACATATCTATATTTTTCTATCTATAAAAAGGAAGCTGACACTTGCCAGACTTAATCAAAGGTGTGAGCAGCACAGCAGACGCCTTTGTGTAATGGCCGCGGGAGGAGTGGGCTCCGCGGCTGCTTCCCCTGCTGTCCGGGGAGGCACAAACAGCGGCCCTGAGTCTGCCTCCGGCGTCGAGGAGCAGCTTCGCGGACGTGAGCCGGGCGGTGGTGGACAGGCTGGGGCTCACCGCCGAAGACCACCGCCGGCGGTTCCGGGCCTGTCGGCTGGCTACAACGGACCGACCATTCGCCTGGGCCCGGCAGCTGCGCGACGCGGCGGTACGCTGGCTGCAACCGGGGACATCGGAGGGGGAGACGAAGCTGGTGGACAAGGTGGTGCTGGAGCAGTTCACGGAGGGATTGCCAGCGGAGACGGCGAGATGGGTCCGGTGCCACCGGCCCGCAAGCTTGGAGGTAGCGGTGACGCTGGCGGAGGACCACCTTGCCGCTGGAGCAGGGGAACCCGGGGACGCCGGACGGAGGCCGAACAAACAGGCCCCAGTGCCGGCCCCGAGGCGCCGTGTGCCGACACCAGGGCAGGCAGAACGGCTGCCGGCGCTGAGCCCCACTAACCCTTTCGCGGCGTTGGTGCCGTCCAGGGGAACCGAGCCAAGTGGAGCCGCCCCCGAGCCACGGAGAGCAGCACAGACGCCGGGGCCGGAGTGTTGGAAGTGCGGGCAGCCGGGGCACCTGAGGAGGGATTGTCCTCTTATGGAAGTGGGGCAGGTGTTTCGTGTTGCTGGCGCCCCAGCACCCTCCCCCGGTCCAGGAGGGACATACAGTATTCCGGTAAGGACTCGAGGGGGTATACGCCAGGCGTTGGTGGACACGGGCTGCACGCAGACCCTCGTACACCAAAGCTTGGTTCGCCCCGGGGCATTGCTGGAGGCAGAATGGGTGGAGGTGAGGTGTGTGCATGGTGACGTTCACAAGTATCCCATAGTGCCGCTGTTATTGAAGTATAAGGGCAAAACGCATAGAGTAACGGCGGCGGTTAGCCCGCGCCTGTCGCACCCCCTGATTCTGGGTACCAATTGGCCGGGGTTTCATCAGCTACTGGGGCAGTACGCGGGGGTGCGATCACGACCGGAAGCGGGGTGTAGCGTGTGCGCGGCGTTCAGCGGTGACGCGGGGTCGTCCGACACTGACTCCGGGGGGGAGGAGCCGGCGGGTCCCTCACGGGACGTCCCGCCGGCCCCGGAAGTGTCCCCCATGGGTGATTTCCCACTGGAGCAGTCTCGTGACGGCACCCTACGCTCAGCCTTTGACCAAGTGATGGCTATTGATGGTCACGTGGTGCGCCCTGAGGCCGCGCAGACCTACCCGCGTTTCGTCTTATTAAACGACCGATTATATCGAGTGAGTCGTGACACTCAGACAGAGGAAACACACACCCAGTTGTTGGTGCCGCAGGGCCGCCGGGAAACGCTTTTCCAGGCGGCCCACTATAACCCCATGGCAGGGCATATGGGCTATGAGAAAACTCTGGAGCGAATAACGGCCCGATTTTATTGGCCGGGCATCCGAGCGGATGTGCGCCGCTGGTGCGCGTCCTGCCCGGACTGCCAACTTGTTAACCAGCCGGCCATACCGAAGGCGCCGCTGCGCCCTCTCCCCCTCATTGAGGTCCCGTTTGAGCGCATCGGCATGGACCTCATCGGGCCGTTTCACCGGAGTGCACGCGGCTACCGCTTTGTGTTAGTCCTGGTGGATTACGCAACGCGGTACCCGGAAGCAGTTCCGCTGCGCACCATCTCTGCAAAGAGTGTGGCGCAGGCACTGTTTCAGGTCATCTCCCGAGTCGGAATCCCGAAAGAGATACTGACTGACCAGGGCACGTCGTTTATGTCTCGTACACTGCGGGAACTGTACGAATTACTGGGCATTAAATCTATTCGGACCAGTGTCTACCACCCTCAGACTGACGGGCTGGTGGAGCGGCTGAATAAGACTTTAAAGTCCATGATTCGGAAGTTCATTAACGAGGATGAACGCAATTGGGATCACTGGCTAGACCCTCTGTTATTCGCAGTGCGGGAGGTGCCCCAGGCCTCCACGGGATTTTCTCCCTTTGAACTGCTGTTCGGCAGGAGGCCACGTGGGGTGCTCGACCTGATTAAAGAAAGCTGGGAGGACGGTCCGAGCCCCGCCAAAAATGAGATTCAGTACGTGTTGGACCTGAGAGCAAAACTCCACACTTTGGGGAGGTTGTCACGGGAGAATTTGCTCCAGGCTCAGCAGCGTCAGCAACGCCTGTATGACAGAGGGGCTAGGCTCAGGCAATTTTCACCGGGAGATAAAGTGCTTGTGTTACTCCCTACTTCCAGCTCGAAGTTGCTCGCCAAGTGGCAAGGACCCTTTGTGGTCACACGGCGAGTCGGGGACGTGGACTATGAGGTCGCTCGGTCGGACAGGGGAGGAGCCACGCAGATTTATCACCTCAATCTCCTCAAACTGTGGCGAGAGGTTGAAACCGCTTCTCTGGTGAGCTTGGTGAAGGAGAGAGATGAGTTGGGGCCTGAGGTGCCAAATTCTATCATTCCCACCTCCCTCCCTTGTGATGACCATCTCACACAGGCCCAGAGAGCGGATGTTGTCGCGTTGCAACAGCGTTTTGCGGACGTGTTCTCCCCCCTGCCCGGCCGGACGTCCCTCATCGAGCACCATTTCGTGACGCAGCCCGGCGTGACGGTGCGTTCACGGCCCTACAGGCTCCCGGAGCATAAGCGAAAAATCGTGCAGAGGGAATTGGCGGAAATGCTGAGGATGGGAGTAATAGAAGAGTCGCACAGCGCCTGGTGTAGCCCCATCGTTCTGGTGGCGAAGAAGGATGGGTCTATACGGTTCTGTGTCGACTATCGCAGGGTGAACGAAGTGTCACGCTTTGATGCCTACCCCATGCCTCGGGTCGACGAGCTCCTGGACCGGTTAGGCACGGCCCGCTTTTTCACGACACTGGACTTAACCAAGGGCTATTGGCAGATTCCCTTGTCTGCCGAGGCCAGGGAGAAAACGGCCTTCTCCACTCCGTACGGTTTGTACCAGTTCGTGACGCTTCCGTTTGGCCTGTTCGGGGCCCCGGCCACTTTCCAGCGTCTCATGGACCGGGTACTGCGTCCGCACGCAGCGTATGCTGCCGCCTACCTGGATGACGTGATCATCCACAGCGACACCTGGGCGGAGCATGTGCTGCGGGTGGCCGCGGTCCTGGAGTCCCTGAGGGGGGCGGGGCTCACGGCCAATCCGAAGAAGTGCGCGGTTGGACGGAGGGAGGTGCAGTATCTGGGGTACCACCTGGGGGGCGGGCAGGTGCGTCCACAGGTGGAGAAGACGGCGGCTATCGCATCCTGCCCGCGCCCCAGGACGAAAAAGGAGGTGAGACGGTTCTTGGGGTTGGCGGGTTACTATCGTCGCTTTGTGCCGGGGTTTGCGCAGCTAACCAGCCCCCTGACCGATCTCACTCGAAAGGGTGCCCCGGATCTGGTCCAGTGGACGGGGCCGTGCCAGGCGGCGTTTGTGCAGGTGAAAAAGGCTCTCTGTGGGGAGCCGCTGCTTCACACTCCTAACTTTTCCCTCCCTTTTGTTCTGCAGACTGACGCCTCGGACAGAGGGCTGGGAGCCGTTTTGTCCCAGCAGGTGAGGGGGGTCGACCGCCCTGTCCTATACATCAGCCGGAAGCTAGCAGAGCGCGAGCGCCGGTACAGCACCGTGGAGAAGGAGTGCCTGGCCATCCGGTGGGCGGTCGGCTCCCTGCGCTATTACCTCCTGGGACGCTCATTCACCCTCTGTTCGGACCACGCCCCGCTGCAGTGGCTCCACCGCATGAAGGATGCCAACGCCCGGATCACCCGGTGGTATCTGGCGTTGCAGCCCTTTAAGTTCAAGGTGATCCATAGGCCGGGGGCGCAGATGGCAGTGGCCGATTTCCTCTCTCGCTCGCGGGGGGGGGAGTTGGCTCGGCCGGACGGCTCCCCGGCCTCGAACGGGCGGTGGGGGTGTGTGGCGGAGGCGTGGCCCCGGGCGCAGCTGCAGGGGAGGAGTGGAGCGGAAGGCTCAACAGGGCGGCGCTGCGAGGCCGGTAAGAACAGCTGATGTTGTTTATGGACTGATGATGGTCTCCCT